ACTTCCTTGCATTGGGTTAGAACATGTTCCTTTAGGTCCAAGAAGTTTGTTATTACCCACCTTCTTAAACCTGCTTTTGTCAATTCATCAAACTCATTCTCTATCCAGTTTTGTTCCCTTGTTGGTGAGGAATTGTGATCTCTTGGAGGAGAAGAGGCATTCTGGTTTTTGTAATTTTCTCCCATTTTGCACTGGTTTCTTCATCTCTTTGTGGATTTATCTACCTTTGGTCTTTGAAGTTGGTGACATTTGGATGGGATCTCTGAGTGTACTTCTTTTCTGTTAATGTTGAAACCATTTCTTTCTGTCTGTTAGTTTTCTAACAGGCCCCTCTGCTGCAAGTCTGCTGGAGTTTGCTGGAGGTTCACTCCAGACCCTGATTGCCTGGGGATCACCAGCAGGGGCTGTTGAACAGCAAAGATTGCTGCCTATTCCTTCCTCTTGTAGCTTCGCCCCAGAACGGTACCTGCCAGATGCCAGCCAGAACCTTCCTGTTGAGCTGTCTGTTGGCCCCTGCTGGAAAGTGTTTCCCAGTCAGGATACACGGGGGTCAGGGAGCCATTGAGGAGGCAGTCTGTCCCTTAGCAGAGCTTCAGTGTTGTGCTAGGAGATCCACTGGTTTCCTTAGCACTGCCAGGCAGGTACATTTATGTCTGCTGAAGCTGTACCCACAACTACCCCTTTTCCCAGATGCTCTGTCCCAGGAAGGTGGGGCTTTATTTATAAGTTCCTGATAGGCTGCTGCCTTTATTTAGAGATTGCCTGTCCAGCGAGGTAGGAGTCTATGACACAGTCTGCCTGGAGAGAGGCATTGCTGAGCTACTGCAGGCTCCACTCAGTTCAAACTTCCCTGTGACTTTTTTTCACACAGGCTAGGTGAAAACCACCTACTCAAGCCTCATTAATGGTGGATGCCCCTTCCCCCACCAAGCTCAAAAGTCCCAGTTGGAGCTCAGACTGGTGTGCTGGATGTAGGTATTTCAAGCCAATGGATCTTAGCTTGCCAATGGATCTTCATTGGGGTGGGACCTGCTGAGCCAGATCACTTGGCTCCCTGTCTGCAGCCCCCTTTTTTAGGGGAGTTAACTGTTCTATTTTGCTGGCATTCCAGGCACCACTGGGTATTAAAAAAAATAAAATAAAATAAAATAAAACACTTCTGTGGCTAGCTCAGGGTCTTCCCTAATGGGCTACCCAGTTGTGTGCTGGAAACACAGGGCCCAGGTTTTATAGAGCTTTTCTCTCACCAGAGAGAATCTTCTGATCTCTGTGTGTGTGGGGAGGCGGGGGAAGTGCACTATCTGGACTGGGGTGCTGGGAAGAGTTCCTAATGGCTTCTCTTGGCTAGAAGAGGGAGTTCCCCAGCCCCTTGCACTTCCCAGGAAGGCAACACCCCACCCTGCTTTGGCTTGCCCTCCTTGGGCTATACCCACTGTCTAGGCAGTCTCAATGAGATGAACCAGGTACCTCCGTTGGAAATGCAGAGATCATCCACCTGCTGCGTTACTCTCACTGGGAGCTTACACCAGAGCTATTCCTATCTGGCCATTTTGCCAGCAGTTTTTGGTGGAGTCTTTACAGTTTTCTTTTTAAAAAGATTATGATATCCGCAATAGGAACAATTTAACTTCCTTTCCAATTTGGATGTCTTCCAATTTTTTTTTTCTTGTCTCATTACTCTTGCGGGGACTTCCAGTACTATATTTAATAGAAATGGCAGCAGTGGATATCCTTTTCTTGTTCCTGGTCTTAGCAGACAACTTTTCAACTTTTTACCATTGAATATGATGTTAGTTGTGGGTGTGTCATATATGGCCTGAATTATTTTGAGGTACATATCTGTTATTACTACTTCATTGGAACTTTTTATCATGAAAGAATGTTTAATTTTGTTGGATGCTTTTTCTGCATCTATTGAAATAACAGATTTTCTTTCAGCCTGTTAACAGGATGTATTATCTTATTTATAGATATGAATATGCTACAATATTCTTGTATCCCTAAATAAATCCCAAATGATCATGGTGAATAACCCTTCTACTACAATAGCAAATAATATTGGCTGATACTTTGTTGAGGATTGTTGTATTTAAGTTCACTAGCTATATTGACCTGTATTTTTTTTCTTTTTCTTTTTCTTTCTTTTTTTTTTTTTTTTTTTGTAGCATCCTTCTCTGGCTTTACTATCTGCTGGCCTAGTAAACAAATTTGGAAGAATTTCCTCTATATATACTTTTTGGAAGAGTTTGAGAAGGATTGGCATTAGTTCTTTTTTAAGTGTTTGGTAAAATTCAGCAGTTAAGTCATCCAGTCCTGGACGTTGCTTTGATGGGAAATTTTTTATTACTGATTTAATGTCATTACTCATTATTGCTGCTTATATTAGCTGTTTCTTCATAATTCAGTCTTGGTAGGTTGTATGTGTTTAGGAATTTAATCCATTTCTTCTAAGTTGTCTAATGTGTTGGTATGTAATTGCTTATTGTAGTCTCATGATCCTTTGTGTTTTTGTGGTACAAGTTTTTAGTTGTTGTTTGTTTAGACAGTCTCACTCTGTCACCCAGGCTGGAGTGTAGTGGTGTGATCTCAACTCAGTGCAACCTCTGCCCCCTAAACTCAAGTGATCCTCCCAGCTCAGCCTCCTGAATAGCTGGGACAACAGGCACACACCATCCCACCCAACTAATTTTGGTATCTTTTTTAGTAGAGATGGGGTTTCACCATGTTGCCCAGGATGGTCTCAAACTCAAGTGATCCACCCACCTTGGACCCCTAAAGTTTTGGGATTACAGGGGTGAGCCACCACAACTGGCTTTGTAGTACAAGTTTTAATGTCGTCTCCTCTTTCATTTCTATTTAAAAAAAAGTTTCTGGTGTTGATTTTTTAAATTGTTTTTCTAGTCTCTATTTCATTTACTTATTCTCTTATCTTTGTAATTTCCTTTCTTTTATTTAAACTGGGTTTGTTTGTTCATCTTTTTCTAGTTCCTTGCAATGTGAAGCTAAGTTATCTGAGTTTTTTTTTTTTTTTTTTTGATGGAGACATTGATTACTCTAAACTTCTTTCCTAAAACTGCTTCTGTTGCATCTTGTAAGGTTTTATATATTTTGCGTGCATTTTTATTTTTTAAAATATATTTTTACATTTCTTTTTTCATTTTTTCTTCAAACACATTGGTTCTGGACTGTGTTGTTTACATTCCACATATTTAACTTTCCATAATTCCTCTTGTTATTCATGTCTAGTTTAGTTTAAGATCAGTGTGGTTTGAAAAGATATTTGATACAACTTAAATCTTCTTGAATATGTTAAGACTTGTTTTGTAGCACAATATATGCTTTATCTTGGAGAATGTTCCATGTGACCTTGAAATAAATGTATATTATCTGTATGTTAGATAAAATTTTCTCTGCATATGTCTGTTAGATTCATTTTTCCTAAAGCATAGTTGAAGTTCAATGATTTTTTATTGATCCATTGCTCATAGTATGGAAGTCTTTGCTATTATTATCTTTCTCCTCAGATCTGTTAATATTTGCTCTATGTATTTAGACACTCTGATGTTAAGTGTATATATATTTACAATTGTTATGTCCCAATGAAAATTGATACCTTTGTCATCATATGATGACCTTCTTTGTGTCATCGTATAAGGTGTGATTTAAAATTTCCTTTGTGTGACATAAGCATAGCACTCTGCTTATGTTTTGTTCTCATTAGAATGGAATATTCTTTTTTATCTCTTTTAGTCTTTGCGTATTCTTACAGGTAAAAAGTGGGACTATCAGCAGCATATATTCTTTAGAATACGTTTTGTTTTCTCAGCTACTCTGTCTTTAATTGGAGAATTCAATTCATTTACATTTCATATATTTCTCTTTCCCCAGATTTTGAAATATTTCTGATATTATTTCTTTAAACATGCCCTCAGCTCCTCTGTCTCTTTTCTCCTCCTTAAAATTGTATAACTCAAATATTGTCTCTTTTGAGTTGCCCCAAAAGTCTTGAAAGCTTTCTTAATTTCTTTTCATTCTTTTTAATTTTTTTCTTTTATGTTGTTCAAATACCCTGTGGTCAAGTTCACAGATTTTTTTCTTCTGCTTGATCAGTTTGGCTATTAATACACTCTATTGCATTTTTATTTCATTCATATTTCTTAGCTCCTGAGTTTGATTTTTTGAAATAATTTTAATCTCTCAATATCTTTAGTCAGTTATTGTTTCCTCCATTCATTGCATTGTTTATATATCTCCATGTCTTTGATGTCAACCACTCAGAGATTATTGTGTTCTTTGGGTGGTACTATGTTTGCTTTCATGTTACTTGTTGCCTTACACTCAATCTGTGCATTTGAGAATAAGGATCTCATTCCAGCCTTGGAGGCTGGCTTCTTCAGCGAAAGCCCTTCACTAATCAGTTAATCCAGAGATTTTTTTTCAGTGCATTTACCATAATCCATAAGTGAGCTTACTGCTGGAGTCCTTAGTGGGCCAGGCCTGGTGTTCAGGTCTGCAAGCAGTAGGCTTTTCTAATTTTATTTTGTTTCATAGCTGTGTTTTTTTGCATGTCGTTGAGCTTAATGAGGGTAATTATTTTAATTATTTTTCAGATAACTCATAGTTTTCTATGTCTTTGAAATTTGTTATTGGAGATTTACCTTAGTTTCTTCTGGTGAAGTCATGTTTGCTTGATTTTTTTTTTTTTTAATGCATGTAATGTCTGCATTTGAAAGAGTAAACACCTCTTTTAGTCTTAACAGATTTGTTTCAGCTGGTAAACATCTCCTGATGAATACCAAGCTGATGGACTGAGGATTGGAAAGGGTCATGTGGCTACTCTTGGGTCTGTAGTGGGGTTTGGCAGACGTCTTACAAGGGGCTTTAATGGACAGAGATCCTTTCTAGTCCCTAAACAGACTGGACTGCCTCTGGCACACTGGTCAGTAAGACTAGCATTTAGACAAGGATCTGCTTGAGGGTACAAGTAACATGCCACTTACCAGGTGAACTGATATGTGAGACTTCCTCTCGGTCACTGGAAGGGCTCCTACTTGGTCATCGGGTGAGTCAAGGCTGCATCTGAGATGGGTCAAAATCAAGTCATTGGCACCACTTCAGAGCCTGTGGTCTGCTACCTGCCTCTGCGGTCACAAATAGGCCTGGGTACCATGGGCATTAGGACTGCTTTTAGACTGCAGCTGAGAGGGTTTGGAGCAGACTTACAGTGTGATTTCAAGATCCCCAGTGGATGCACAAGGAGATGAGTCCGCGTTTCTGGGTCTGGAGCCAGGACCCTGGGCAGGAGTTTGACACTGAAGCGTGGATTTGTCCTCTCAAAACAGCCCTCCTAGTTCCTGGGCTTCACCACAGTTTCATAATCTCCTGCTTTAATCCGAAAGCTTGCCCCAAAGGCATATTTTTTGTCTAAAAATGTCTGCCAAATTATTGTTGCTTTGGTTATCAAAAACAAACTATAGGCTAATTCTCAAAGCATTCTAAACAGAGAACCTGATTGTCTGTGTACTGCTATTACAAGCATGCTACTAAGTTTTTCGTGGCTATTTACTCATTGCCTTTCCACCACTCTCTTATTAAGACTTTAGAGTTCAATTCCAACTCAAGTCTACCTTCTCTCCATCTTTGAGAATTATATTACAGAGTCATAAACAGCACCATTCAAGATGATTTACTTAATGTATTCCTCTCAATTCAAAAGTGCATTCTCTATATTACTTTTAAAATTACAATTGAATGAAATTTTACTTTCTAGAACATTACAAAAAGTGTTAATGAAGTTTCATAAATTACAGATTTCCCAGTTTTTTTTCTCTTTACTGACAGTTGTGTTTTACAATTTTAAATTTGACCATTTTTTCAAGATGCCATTCAATTGATAGTGACTATCATCAAAAGAAAATTTAAAATGAGAAATTTATTCTCCCCAGATTAAAAGTCAAATAAATTTTCTTAAATGTTAAGTTAATAAGCATTAAATTACATAGTAATATCAAAAATAATGATACAATAATTTGAAATTAAATTACATAAAACTAGAGACTATTCCCTTATAAACAGTATTTTATTTTTCTTAAATATATTACACTTATTTTGCCAATAAATGTAAGACTATAACTTTAATTTTAAAATTTCAAATTGAAACAAAACAATGTATATTGAGTATTTTTTTTTTTACAATCTATATAATTTATTACCCTTTTGGAACATTTTAAGAGTAGTGGCTAGACGAGTAACTCAGCCCAATGGACAAATATTAGCTTTTAAAATATTAGTTTTCAAGCTGTAAGGAATGTTTATGATGAAACAAGGAAATACTATTTATGATACATAAAAGAACATAAGCATATATTAATAAAAATGGACAGTACACATGATTCTCAGTAGATCTGAGGTGTTTACAAGGTCAGTTTAATAAAAAGAAGAGTTGTCTTCTATTTTCTTATAGGAGCTGGACCACCTGTCAGCAAGGGTACAATTAATATCAGGATTCTAACTATTGGGTTGATGACTTTTATAAGGCAGAAATAGCAAACATTTATTATTCAGAAACTGGTGCTGAGTTACTTCGGTTGTAAAATTCATCTAATAGCTATCTCTACATGATAAACTCTAGAGTTGCCTGAAATGATCACATGTAATGACTAAGAAAGTGACTTTTAGAGTGAGATGAACTCCTATTTACTTTATAGAAGTTAAAATATACATATAGACACAGATATATATAAATTAGTGAGATTTATGTAGCACTTTATCTTTTTGATTTAATAGAAAAAAAATAAAAGTGGGAAAAAATACTTGTTCCTTTATCCTAATCAAGAGCAGATCTTGGTCTGTGAAACCTGAAACTCAGATAACTAGTTAAGAGTGTTTTAAGTCATCCTTAAATATAATAACACAAAACTAGGGCAATTTCTTTAGCATGAGGAAAAAAAGAGAACTCTTAATGAGTTACCAAGATTTTAAAAGATGGCAAATGTCATAAACACCCAACTACCTTTGTTAACTATAACAGCTCTCTAATATTGTTTTCTCCTACATTCTTTGGATGTATCTTCTTTGTGCTCCTTGGAGTACAGCACAATCTCTGTAATATATTTCTTTAGAGAGAGAATAGGAAAGTAATTTAGCCTGCAGTCCTGTGCCCAAAATAGGCACACTCCCTGAGGGGACTGTCTACTCCTGTGATCACTCCGTCTCCAGGAATTCTTGGTTACTTGACATCTCTGACACCTGCAACTCAATGTTTTCATTTTGTATATTATCTGCCTTTTCTACTTTTTCACAAAGGGAGATTTGTTCTGATGCAAGCTACTCTGTCATATCTAGAAGCAGAGGCTCTGTTTACTCTTTTTTTCCCACTTATTCAAGCAATTAGGGTATTTTTAAAACTCTTTTTAATTTTTAGTATGCTTTAATACTATGGGGGTTACTCAAATGTACACATTTTTTTTCTCCTACCCTCAATGGGCTTTGAGTTCTGTTACCTGTTTTTGTTTCTCTTTGCTTTCAGACTTTTTGTCCTTGATATAACCACCTCCCTTTTCAACCTTTCATTCTGTAATATGCTGTTTTGTTTTTTTTTTCTTTTAAAGTTCTGGTATACATGTACCAGAATGGTGATTATTAAAAAGTCAGGAAACAATACATGCCGGCGAGGCTGTGGAGAAATAGGAATGCTTTTACACTGTCGGTGGGAGTGTAACTTAGTTCAACCATTGTGAAAGACAATATGGTAATTCTTCAAGGGTCTAAAAACAGAAATACCATTTGACCCAGCAATCCCATTACTGGGTATATGACCAAAGGATTATAAATCATTCTACTATAAATACATACACACGCGTATGTTTATTGCAGCAATATTAACAAGTTTTGGTTTTGTTGATCATCATTATTTTGCTTTCTAGTTTATTACTTTCAACTTTTTAGTATTTTTTTGTTTTTGTTTTTGTTTTGTATTTCTGGTTGGGGATACTATTTGATGCTATTAAATCAAATTTTTTGATGATAAATAGATGTTAAATTTTATCACATGAATTTTTAAATATATTGAGATAAGAATACAATTTTTTCCTTTAGTTTAAAAGTATGGTCTGTTACATTGGTAGCTTTTCCTAATGTTGTCCTAAACTTGCATTATTGGGATGAAGCTTATTTGTTGTAAGTTAACACATTATAGCTTTGGCTAGATGTTGGTGTCTCTGTTCACAAGTGAAATTATATATTCTTTATTTTATTATACTTATTTTGAATCAGAATTCTAATAGCCACAAAATAAGAGCTGTAACTTCCCAATTTTTTTCTTGAACAACTGACGTAATTTTATGATTGTATGTTTTATAAATGTTTAGTAAAACTAACATATAAATCAATATGAAAAAGGGGGAATTTATTGCCTAATGGAAAAGTCTTTGATTACCATGTCAATTTTCCAGTGGCTATTAGTAAATTCAAGTTTTATTTTAAAAAATCCTTTTGGCTGGGCATGGTGGCTCATGACTGTATAATCCCAGCACTTTGGGAGGTCAAGGCCAGTGGATCACGAGGTTAGGAGTTTGAGACCAGCCTGGGCAACATGGTGAAACCCCGTGTCTACTAAAATACAAAAAATTATCTGATGGTGGGCACCTGTAATCCCAGCTACTCGAGAGGCTGAGGTGGGAGAATTGCTTGACTCCAGGAGGCAGAGATTGCAGTGAGCCAAGATTGTGCCACAGCACTCCAGCTGGGGCGACAGAGTAAGACTCTGTCTCCACAAAAAAAATCTTTTTTTACACCATTTTTTATTTTCTATTTCTTTAATATAGTTAATTAATTTAGTTTACCAAAGTAACTAGCATGTATTTATTCATAATGCAATTTTATTATTGTCTCAACTTCTGCTGTATTGTCTTTAATTTTATATTTGATTTGTTTGCATCTTCTTTTTCTTTCATGTTTTTTTCCATAAATATTAATGATATTCCCTTCTACAAAGAATACCTAAGCATTATTTTACATCTGTCTGGGCTCAAGTATGTTGGCAATATCTAGAATATAATCTACTTCCATGTATTTTTTCTCCTAACTTAATTGCTATAATTGATTTTAAAGCTGGCCCCATACTTTCTCCTTCTCTGTCACTTTGCAATGTCAATTTAATGATATTTCAATAGGTAGAGTTTATTCTTCCATCCCTTAAATCTTGGCTTACTATAACTTACTTCTTCAGTATATTAAGGATATAGAATCTTCTTGGTGTTAATAGGAGGAAATAGTTACTTTTGTAAGCCACTAACATTTTTACTTAATTACATGAATAGTATTGTATTGTTTCCTTTCTTATTGAGAAACATTATTCAAAATCATTTTTGAAAAGATCTTTGTGTACTTCTGAGCTTTTTTAGAACCCCCAAATATCATAATTGTACACTTACATTTAAATGGTATGGCTTTTGAGTATTTGATATGTGTGTTCAATTCTCATATCCTTATAAGTCATCTGTTATTTTTTTATCTAGAAGCTTTTAGATTTTACTCTTTGACTTCATTGTTCTTGAATCTCAATACAATCTAGGTGTATTTTTTTCCTGTATATAAACTCAATTGCTGTAATAGATTGTAAAGATTATCCCAACACTGTCTCCTTTTCTGTAACTTTGCTATGTAACTTTAATGCTCCTTCTTTCAACTGATATAATTTCTCCTTAAATCTTGGCATAGGCATATGACTTATTTCTTCAATAGAATATTAACAAACATGATATACACAGAGACCTGGTAGCACTTACCTATTGAGTTTTGCCCTCTTTTGCATCCCTTGGGACTCTGACACCAAAAGGCAAGGATGTGAATGAGGCTGAGATAACCTATTGGAGAGACCACATGAAAAACAGCTGAGGGAGCTTAGTTACAGCCTGATACCTGCCAGAAATGAGAGTAAGGGCATCCTAGATTTAGCCCATCTCAGTCAGTCTGACGTCTGACTACAGACCCATAAGTGAATCCAGCAGGAGTCAGAAGCAGAACCACCCAGACATAAATTTAAATTGCTAGCTCTCAGAATTATAAAATAATGAATGATTCTTCTGGTTGTTTTTAGCCACTAAGTTTTGAGATGGCCTGTTATGCAACAAAGACTAACTGATAAATATGACTCTTCTACAGCTCTTACAGAACTATCTTAGTACTAGAGTTCTTGGGAATTCTCAGTTATCATTTCTTTAACTATTTCCTTATTGTTTTTATTCTCATCTGAAACTGCTTATCACTTGTATTTTTGTTTTTACTTACATTTATTTTATATTCTCTATCACTTTTTGAAGTTCTATCTTTTATCTTCTTTTTCTGTTTTGATATCTTAATCTGATTTCCACCTGGAAAATTTGTTCCTTAGCTTACTTACCCCCTTATTTCATTGCTTGAGTTATGCATGTCAACCATTTTATTTTTCATATCCGAAATACCACTTGATTCTTCATAATTGCATCTTGCTTCATGTTAAGATAATTTTATACACATTTTAAATTATTCACTTGTGTTTTTTTTTTCTTTCTTTCGACATGGAGTTTAACTCTTGTTGCCAGGCTGAAGTGCAATTGCAGGATCTCAGTTCAACACAAACTTTGCCTCCCAGGTTCAAACAATTATCCTGCCTGAGCTCCAGAGCAGCTGGAATTACAGGTGCACACCACCACACCTGGCTAATTTTGTATTTTTAGTAGAGATGGGGTTTTACCATGTTGGTCAGGTTGATCTTGAACTCCCGACCTCAGGTGATCTGCCCAACTCAGCCTCCCAAAGTGCTGGGACTCTAGGCGTGAGCCCACGCCTGGCCTACTTTATTATTTTTTATGTCTCTGGTGAGATCATCCTTTTTTTGTTCTTATTTTTATTAATTTTTTCTATAATATTTTCAACTGTAAGTGTCAGCACAATGCCTATGCTCACTTCACCATAATGATTCATGTAAAGCTGGTCTTGACTATCTGAGGTCAGGCTTTGGACCATTGTTTAACTTCTCTTTAACCACCACATACAAATATACAGGGCAGGAGGGCCAATAGCGTGACTCTGCTTCACCCAAGGCCCATATGACAGTGAGGTTATCCATTTACAATTCAGCTGCCTAATCAGGGACATAGAACTTTGTTTAGGAATAGTCAGATCATGCAATCCAAGCTAATCATCTATAGAAATGTAGAAAACTATTCACTGTTATGATGAAAAAGACATCTAGTTAACTGGCTGAGTCCAGATGGAGTACAGAGTAGTGTTTCTCTCTTCCTACAAGAAAAATTGGAAATCCTTGTTAACAGTAACATTTATTTCAAGTTGGTTCTGTGAAAGTAAAAGTGGAGAAAGACATGGTCATGCCATGAGATGTGACTTCTGACTAAAACTTTTCAAGGAATTCTTAGTAGACTTGGATTAATATTTATGCCCCATATGATCAGATTCTTTATAGCATGTGTCACTCTAAAATTCTATCACTAATTATTTCTTTTACTTTTATTGTTGATTTCTCCTCTATAATACAAAGCCCATTTTGCTTGCTAATGCCTACATCCTCTGAGCAAAAAGAGTCTATGATGGAATATTTTCTCAACAAATGTATTAACTTAAAATATTTAATTATTATATTTGCTGCAATTTAATATCTTCATGTGGACTGTTTATTATTACATGAATCTGATTTTTAAAAAATTAAATTCCAAGTCAACACTGACTGTACTTTGACATTTACAATTCATTTTGAATTTCTGTAGCAATTCTTAAGATACATATTATTTTCTACTTGTGTAGATAATTGAAAATACAACCCAGAGTTTAAGAATTATAGCTAATGTCACATAGTTAAAAGTTATGAAGTTCTGATAGGAAGTCTGTCTGACTGACTCCAAAGCTTATTCCCAGTACACCATTTTTAGTTTAATGTGTGACTAGTAAGCCACTGAAATAGCAAATTCACTGATTTGCCTATCAAGCTGCCCATCTTTAAGAATGATTAAATTTCTTTCTATTCAACAGCAAAGGAATATACATGAGAAAGTTTCAGTATAGTACTAATTAAAATAATGTTCAACTAAGTTATAATCCCTGATGATTTTTACCACATAAAATTCTGAATTCTGGCCCAAGTGTGCTGGCTCATGCTTGTAATCCCAGCACTTTGGGAGGTTGACAGGGGTGGATCACCTGAGATCAGGAGTTCAAAATCAGTTTGGTCAACACGGAGAAACCTCATCTCTATTAAAAATTAAAACATTAGCTGGGTGTGATGGTGTACACCTATAATCCTAGCTACTTGGGAGGCTGAGGCAGGAGAATCACTTGAATCCAGGAGGCAGAGGTTATAGTGACCTGAGATTGCACCATAATACTCCAGCTTGGGCAACAGAGCAATACTCTGTGTCAAAAAGTAAAAAAAAAAAAAATTGAATTCTATCTTCATTTTATTTTTTCCCTCTGAATTCCAAATAGTCATTTATGGAAAAATATAGAAGGCTCTGAAACTCTGAAAAAAAATAAGTATTTTTCTTTTTATTAGAGTGCTGTGATATGGAGTAGCTCATTATAAATTTCTCCCCAACTTTTTCCCTTAGTGATGAAATAATTATATATATTTTATTAAAATTACAATATTATCATTATTATCAAAATTATTCATGCTTTACCCATGCAGAATTTACAAAGTTGCTCCCAGACAATTTCCAAGTGCCTCCATCTGTGGGTCTCAGACTTAGACCAGATGGTGGCTACAACAATGGTCCTCTCAAAGTGGCACCTTATATACAGAGAGGACTCCCTCTACCAGTGGACCTGAAGAGAAGGTCTTTGGATATGAGATCATCCCAGAGAATACTGTTTGCTTTGCTTTTTTCTTTATTTTCTTAACCAGGAAAGTGTTTGTCTATGTAGCTGTTGGCAAGGCCTGTTATCCCAGAGGACTTCTTAAGCTAATAGTCCCAGTGCAGGCCTAAAAGAAAAGCAGTTACATCTGAATCTTAATGATGGTTGTTCGACGAATTTGAGTACTCTCTACTGTGAATTTTGAAATTATTTTTTCTTTTTAGTTTTCTAAACATTTTTCTTCCTATTTATATATTTAGGCTCGAGTATAATACTATCAGTTAAAAAAAAAAGCACTAATTGGTTATTTTTGACCAAAAGTAAAATATTATTTGGGGTGGAATGGTTGTCTCACTTCTCTGAAAAGCTCTTCCATGGCCCTACACTGACTTGTTTTCCTCTCTTCCTCATTGAAAAGTAAATTACATCATTAGAGAACACCCTGGAAATGAGAATTGGCAGTAGATTTGCTTTCCTATGTGTGACCTGTTAGGATCTAAACGTGCTTGTTCTCCATGCAAGGACATTTAGAATTTCTACTTCAAAAATAACTGGACTGAAATTAGGAAAAAGTCCTTCCATCTCATTCCAACCTTTTACCCCCGTCCTACTCTCCCCACAAAATGACTAGGCTGTATGCCTAAGAAAATAGTAACACACTCACAAGCTGTGAAGGCTAAAGAAAATTACTATTCAAAATGTAATGCATTTGCCAACCACTGCTCTCTATTTGAAACAGCTACAAATTCATCTGATTCCACTCTTACATTCATAAGAACATTTTTTAAAAGCCTGAAGGCTTGTGTGCAGATTCTTCATAAAAGACCAGTTGCAACTGTCAGTTGAAGCACACACACTGTCTTTCACCTGTGTGCCTTTATACATGCTGCTCTTATTATCGGGAACAACCTGTTGACCTAGTTAATTCTTGCTGGAACTTAAACTTTCAGATCAGGTGTTCCTTTCCCAGAAAACTTTCCTTGCTTACTCTTCATAGTTCTGTTTAGTTACTTCTTCATGGTGCCCATGTGGCTGCTACATTATTACTTATTATATTGCATTTTAGTTGCTAGTTCATTGGTCTCCTATAAGAGATCATGAGATCTTTGAGGAAACGTGCTGTGGTTTTGGCCATATAGTAAGCCCCTAACACAGTGCCTAACTCATTTTACAGACAATAAATTTTTGCTGAATGAGTATATTATCACAGGAATTATTAATGCATGAGTAAGTTAATGCTAAAATTATTTATTCCAGATGAAGTATTCATTTCTGGTTGACTCCACGGCATGCATTCCCTACCTCGTACCCCATGGTTACTTTTCTCAGGCCAAATATTTTCACTAGAGAATTAACTGCTCATATATTTTTAGTCATATGAATTTGAGGGAAGTGATCCCATGGGCCCTTCAAGGAAGGGCTTAAACCAAACTATGTCCTCTGTTCCCTGGCTAAAGGAACTGTGCCTTAATCAGAGAGCTAGTGAGATTTTGCAGCATGTTGGGGATAAGGAGATTCTTTCCTTTTGCAAGACCTATTAAAAGAAATGATCTCTGTTCGAGCACACAGAGCAAGGAAGAATGAATACAGTATCGAGAGCTGATTATAACCATCTTGTAATTTACAGAGAAGAATATGCCTCAGACTGGACTGAAAAAGGAGAAAGCAGTCAGTAATTGGCAAGACAAATCATACCCTGTTCACATTATTTGAGCATGGGAAAGAAGAGGTCCCTAAGGTTAGTTTCTTGTCTATTCAGTTGACAGAATCAATATTATGTTTAAAGTATTTTGAATAATGTTTTATAATGCTGCAACGATGAATAGTTCACCTTTTTCCAGTCTTCTCCTACATTACCCTAATCTCCCATTTTATATAATATTTCATCACCAGCTTCAGGTCTCCCACAGTAGCATAATAGTGGCATAGTAGAAATAGCATAGATTCTGAATTAAAATACAGATTTTTTAATTTAAGCACTACTCTTTTATCTGTGGACCCTGAGAAGTCATTTTAC